GTAATAAAATTATCTAATAAATTTCTATAATTCTTTTTCTACTAATATTTTTATTTTTTAATGTGTGCTTTGCCTTTATGAATTTAGATTGTAATTAATAAATGCAAATTTTATTAAAAACTTTTATTGAACTCTTTTATTAAACATGAAAATAATAAAGAATTAAAATAATAACAATAAAACTAACAGTTGAACACTATAAAAAAATTTTACGGTCAAAGTTAGATGTTAAATTAATGCATGTATGAGATTCGGTAATGAACGCATAATCTCTTGTAGACAAATAGAGCAGATTAAACTGAGTCGAAAAGTCCTGTATCATTTTGCAATTTTCACAATAGTTTCTGCTCGTTTGTACAAGCAATCATTGTCTGCATAATGCCTTCAGGTTGTCCTAAATATAATTATTATTGTCTTGGGCATATATCATGGAACAAATCGAAATGGAATTCCAATCAAAATTATTCAATTATTCCCTAGAGTTCTTGTATTTTCTAGAGAAAACGGAATAATTTCGATCGGAATTTATTCCAACATATTCCATGATAGGTACCCTGATGTCGGCAACATGATGCCAATTGAAGGGAAACTTGTGCTAAGCACCTATTTTGTTTCTATCTTTTTATCCTTCTACCAAGGAATATTTTGATAGTTATTACATATTAGACACAATCTTAATGTTAAACAGATAGATATATTAAATATTTACTTGCAGAGAACAGTATCATAGAAAAAAGAAAACTCCTACTTTGCCCCTTACCGAGGAACGGATTAAACATTTCTATCCTGGAGAAACATTGTCTTCTATTTGTAATGAGATACTTCCAAACAGAGATCTACGACCTGTGTCCGAAGCTCGTTTATCAATAAATTGGAAGAGTGATTATAATAACAGCACCGTATCTAGTGCAGAATCGTATCCAGTGCCGTATCAATCGACTGAGGCATTGATGCAGACAGGGAGTCAACAAGCAGATAAAAATCTAGATTCAAGCGTGCGAAAACAGAAAAATTACAGAGTACGCTGTATTAACAAAGTTAAAGTTGTTCGACCACGATTGATAGATACTAGAAATATCACGCGATCAAATTTCTCCGAGAAAACGAATGTATTCTGTAATGTAAAGAAAGTAGAAAGTAAAATCACAATCAAGTTATTGGAAAAGCCTAATAATGAAAAAAAGATAGTCATAAAAAATCCAAGGTATGTATGCCTTGGTACACATATACAGGAAATTTCAAAACGTCTTGCGAGTTTGAAATGTAACAGAGTTGTCACAAAATTAGAGATCAGAAAATTATCAATGAAAAAACGGCCATGAAAATTAGAAAAATAATTTTGCAAAATTTAATTTTCTGGAAAATTAAAATTTTCAGCTTTAAGTTTAATATACGTACAATCAATAATTAAAAGATTGCAACATTTTCTTTTCGATGGATTTCGGAACTAATGGATCAATTTTAAGCAAAATCATAAGACTTGTAACGTGTTCTCGTAAAATTTGTAAGAACTTATGATTAGTATTCTAATTTAATGTGTATCGTAGGACATACGATTATTCGTAAATATTTACAATTTCTTGCAGTAAATTTTATGGCTAGTAAGTTGTCTGTAAAAATATTATATAAAGGTATAAGTACTTAAAAATTCTTACAAGTCTTATAAGAATATGTTACAAATTTATGATTCTGCTTAGAATTTAGGCATAAACCTTACTCGTACAGAAGTTGAACATAAATAGTTAGATCCACACAAATATGAGTTTGAACACAAGAATTGATGTAACGTTTACTTAGACTTAAATTGTAAACGTAAGCAACGTATAAACTTTGCGTTTCTTTTCAAGATAGACATTGGGCATTCTGAATTATGCACAAAGCGCATGACGCATCATTGTCCTTCATCGAAAAATAAAATAATACCTCATGTGCTTCATGCATATCTCGGAACGCATTCTACATCTGCACTTTATATGGATATATATATATATATATATACATATATATATACATACATA